CCCGTGGTGCCTCTCGCAGCACTTTGAAGACATCACYGTTCCACCTTCAGTGTGTAGTGTTGCTGGAGGGAAGCTGTTGCCAGCCTTTCCTCCATTGTTCCACCGTAGACAATCTATCTTTTCTTTCAGGCAGCTCTTATGATTTGCCTTTTACCCTGGATGTTCTGAAGTTTCACTGTGATATGACTTTGAACAGATTTTAATCTATTTTTGCTTGATATTAGAGTGTAATTTTCATCTGAATGAAGAATTTTGACTCTTTCAATTCCAGAAAACTCTTATCCTTTTTAACTTTTTTTTTTTTTTTTTTTTTACCTAAGTCCTGGTTTTTATCTTGTTCTGAATTTCCTATTAAGTACACATTGGTCACCTCAACAGAGTCTCTGTTATTCCTAATAGCTCTTTATATGTATATTTGTCTCTTTATGCTGCATTTTAAGGAAGGCCTCAGTACTTACATTGTACTCACCTCAAAATGTTCCAAAAAATAACCATCAACTCCTGCAATCACCACACCCTATTCTYCAAACTATTTCTCCTCTTTTTTTCTTTACTTGAATTAGTGGTGTTATCTATCAGAAATCCTGATTGCTCCTACCAGGCTCATCTTCTGCTGATCCTTCAAACTACTACTGGAGCAATTTTTTAAAGAGTACAATTTTGAGCATATTAATCCCACTGTTAAGACAAATATGTGGTATCCCACTGACCTGCAAAAACATGGCTTAGAAGTCACTCAGGATATGGTCACAGCTTACCCCATGGGYGTCAGATACCTACTGTTTTCCGATCATACTTTACTTTCCAGGTGTTCATTCAACATGCATTTTTATGTATGGAGTACCTGTAATGTGATTACTTTCTGGGTGTTGGGATACTTCCATAAACAAAGCAGGCRAAAAAAAAATTCTCTTCAGGGAACTTAGTAGAAGAGGTAAATAGTAAACAGATTAAGTGTATAATATGTCAGAATAAGTGTGAAGGAAAAAAATCAAGCAAGAAGAGCRGGGGTGCTAGGAAGATAGGTGATGCATGTTAAATTGAATGACCAGAGAAGATTTTTCAGAAATAGTGATGTCTGAGTGAAAATTTGAAAGAGTTGAAGGTGCAAGTAGTGAACATACTAGAAAGAAYAATGGAAATCAGAAGGAACATCAAATGTAAAGGTCTTCTTTAAAAAAAAATTTTTTTAATTGTAGACGGACACAATACCTTTATTTGTTTAWTTTTTTAATGTGGTGCTGGGGATTGAACCCAGTGCCTGATACATGCTAAGCAAGTGCTCTACCACTGAGCCACAACCCGAGCCCACAAATGCAAAGATCTTGAGGTGAAAAAAATACCTGACTTCTTTAAGAAACATTCAGGATATCAATATGTCTGGGCAGATTTGAGAAGGAAGGAAGTAGGAGATRAGGTCAGAGAAGTTCCCAGGACATTAAATCATTGAGCCTTGTAGGCCATTGTAAGGCATTTGGCTCTTGCTCTGAAGTAGATAAGACTCCATGGGAGGGTATTAAGCAGAACAATGACATGATCTAATTTCTGTTTTGAAAGGATCACTATGTGGAGAACAGACTGGAGGAGGACAAGGAAGCAAGGAGACTTGTCAGGAGGCTATTGCAAAAATCCAATCTTGAAATGAAAATAACTTGGACTAGAATGGTAGCAGTAGAGGTGGTGAGTCAGTCAAATTCTGGATATATTTTGCAAGAGTTAAACAAAAGTGTTGTGCTAATTACTGGAGATAATTCTAGGACCTAAGTAGACAAAAACCTTATCAGGATTGACTGATCAGTTGGATGAAGGACATGAAAGAAAAAGAGGGGGTTGGGGCTGGGGTTGGGGCTCAGTGGTAGGGCCCTTGCCTAGCATGTGTGAGGCATTGGGTTCGATCCTCAGCACCACATAAAAATAAACAAAATAAAGGTCCATTTACAACTAAAAAATATTTTTAAAAAGGGTGGGGGGAGTAAAGGTGTGTCAAAGGGTTTTAGCCTGAACAACTAAAAGTAGAATTAGCTTGATGGAAAACAGGTTTTGGAGATAAAGAAGGGGAGATCAGTTTCAGAGTATGAACATCTAGATGCCTATCAGACCTCCTCTTGGGGATGTCAAAAGAGCATATAGACGTGAATTTGGAGCTAGAGATACATGCTTGAAAACAATCATGTATTAGCAATATTTAAAGCCCTGAGAGTGGATGAGGTTAGCTAGGAAAGGATCGTTGACAGAAATGAGAGGAGATTCAAGCACTGACTCTTGGACGACTAAAAATGACTAAAGAAATTAGGAGGAATTGACAAAACAGACTGAAGGGTCTCCATCAGGAAGTAAGAAATCAAGAGAAGAGAGTGTTTCAAAGGTTGGAGTGATGACTCTGTCAAATGCTATTTGTGGACTGAGAATGAGCTATGAGGATATGGAGCTCATTGATGACCTTGATGAAGACATGTTAGGTGAAGAGGTAGGGAAAAAAATTTATTCTAGTGGATTTAAGAGGTCATTGGATTTGTACACCCATGTTCATAGTAGTACTATGTCCAACACAGGTCTCATTGGGATAAAATCAAGGTGTTGAGAAGACTGTGTTCCTTTCTAGAAGCTCTAGGGGAGAATAAATTTTCATTCCTTTTCCAGTTTCCAGAGGCCACCTGCATTCCTTGGCCTTCTTTCTCCAACTTTAAAGCYGACAACATCGCCTCTTTCTGAATAAGCTACCACATATCTCTCTGATTTCTTCTGCCTCCCCACTTATGGGATACATTAYATAATCCAATACATAGAGAACCCAATAATGCAGGAGAGGGCAGAATTATTGGTATGACATGAGCAAGAAAATGGAGGAACTGAATTTTTTAGGAACAAGGAAAGGACATCTGGGGACAGATGTTAGCTGSTGAGCAGATGTGATGGGTAGGAGTTTGCGGGAGTCATTTGTTTTCTCAGTGACTTATGAACAAGTTCATCAGCTRAGAGTGAGGATGAGGCAGAGGGTGTTACWGGTGTGAGAGAGGTTGCAAAACTGCGAAAAACATCATGAGCACCACAGGCCCACTTGAGTCTGTGATCACTACAGTTTGAGTTGAATGATACTCTGTCATTGTTAGCTGTCTTATACATGACACCCTCTATAACTCTGCATCCTTATCTACTAAACCAGCCCACCCCATCCCAGAGGCAGCAACTGTTTAATTTTAAAACAGGGTAAACCACAGTCCCCACCACAGACCTAGGCAATGCAGTTGCTGTGTAATACCAGTTGATTGAGTAGAAGACAGACAAGACAATTATCTGACACTAGAGAAGCAAAAGAAATGTTTCTTTCAAGTTGGGAAGAAAACCGAACTGTCCACTTCCTTATGATCTGAAGGGTCCCCCCCCCCAGAGGACACAGGTGGAAGACCATCTTCACGGTAATAGGCCACCACCCAGTGGAGGTGAGAAGCACTGCAGGTGCGTGCTCTGCCGCCCAAGACAAATGACAAAAACACATGGCTGTTCCCTTCCTACGGAGCCCTCTGGAKTGGGCACTGCCACTGCTTGCCATTCGGCTGTCTTCTCCTTCCCCGATGAGTCACTAGGGACTGTTAAATCCATGGCTTCCCAGGATCTGCCCTTGAAGATTCTGACTCAGTGAGTTGAAGATGTAGCACCCAATTATTTGTATTTTAAACTAGTACTCCATGAATCTTTTTGTCGGGAAGTCTAGACAAACAAATCACTTTTGTTTCAGCCATCTACAGAATTGGGGCAATTTCTTTCTCTCASTGACTTAATCTTTAAGTTAACTTTGAGTCTGTGTGTGTGAGATTACACGTGTGCAACACCACGCCCAGCACGGAATGTGTCATTGGGTAATGCTCCCGAGTTCCTGGAAAGCACCTGGATCTTACAAATATTTAGAACATATTACATCGCAGCATTTAGGTATAATCTTCCTTTTCATTTCAGATTAATGATTCAAGTCAGAGTCAGCTTTGAAGGCGAAGACCACAGGGTAACCCCAAACTTCAGAACTGTGCTGGTTACAAGAACCRAACTAGTCACTGGACCTTAGTGCCAGGGTGATGGGCTGAGTCTCAGTTCCCGGATCCAACACAATAGGTTCACCGATGAGGTCAGAAAGCTGAGTAACAAGAGGCATTGTTAAGAAGCCGGACTAGACAAAGAGAGCTGAGGAAAAAAAAAAAAAAAAAGATCCAACTTTATATTCCTATTCCACCAAGCTGCAAGTTCTCATTATAGGAAGGGGTGAGGCAAGAGTCACCTTCCTGCCTTCCTCGGGCTCTCCTTGTTAATCATGGTCAGAGGGGAAAATAACAGCTACTGTTTCTTAAGAGGGAGGAAATCTTCAGCCACTCATGACCTTAGGAAGCCCGTCAAGAGTCAAAAAGATAAATAGGCACTTGGCTGGGGGTCTTAGGACTTCACAATGTTTATTCTTGTGTGGAAGGGGTGGACTCTTCATAAAACACTGCATAAAGTGACCAAATAGCCCGCCAGGGTCTGTTCAAGGGCTACACGCACAGCTACGAGAAGTGGCCGCAGAAACGGCTCCAGGCAACCTCTACGCAGGCGCACTAGAGCCCAGAGGGAGCAGCCGGGCCCTCGGGGGGCGGAGCAAGGGCTAGTCACGTGGGCCGMGCTGCCCTCTCGACGATTTCCCTACAAGGACTTAGGCTGTAGGACCCCGCCCTTCGCCGTGCCCTGGAATGTGCCGAGAGGCAAAGCCACAGGACAGACCCAACCAAACGCAGACAAGAGAGGGGGGAATWGGAACGCTTTCAATCAAGTAGAGATACACCAAAGACGGAAGCTCAGTAATCAGACCCAGCGAGCCATTACACATTCCGTTATGTTTCAAGTCCCTTTCTTTATGCTTCCTACCGGTGCACTCGGTCAGTATTTCGCCGGCTGACCACCCTAGCAACTTCCCTCCTAGGCGCCTTTCCATTAAGTCGAGCCCACTTTGTGGGCAGAGAATGGTGACTGTGCTTCCTTCCGGTTTGCAAAGCGGAGACCGGAAGTGTTGGTTTTCAGAGGCTCTGGGGCAGAAAGGTGGTGATAGAGGCAGCGAGGGATTCGCTAAGGTGCTTGGTTCTCGTGGCTGTGTAGGGTGAGTGATGCTCGCGGTCGGGCGCGTGAGGCCGGTTCCTGGGGCCCATCTTCGCGGGGCCGCGGGGCGGGCAGCGGCGCTCCGCCGTGGGATCCCGGCGCCCGGAGCGCACCTGGGCAGGTGTGCCAGCCGATCCCGGGTTTTCAGCCCAGCGGCCAGCTGTGGAGTCGAGGGCCGCGGCCAGAAGTGGCCCAGATRGCCAGACTTCGCTCCTGTGCTGAAACTTGTATCTCGGAAAATGTGGCTTAGCTTGCTGGCGCCTAAAGCTTGGGTGTCTGCCGGGCCCGCGAAACCCGAACCCGGCAGAGCTGACTCTGGGATCTAAGTTTAGTTTCTAACGTAAACTTGCCCGATTCCAGGGAGTTTGCGCTAAAATCGTGGCCCTCCCCGCCCAGCCCCCGTCCTCCCTCCGGTTGCAGCTGTTGTTTAGGAGGAATAACCAACTCAAATCGCAGCTCGATGTCCATTTCTGTAATTAGAACTTTTTTTCTAATTATAATGRTATTTGGCAGAGAGGAGTGTTGGGGTTTAGTTTGCAGCTTAAGGGAAATCCCCAAAATGACAATTTCCCTTTGGGTGGAGACACWGGGCTAAGTCAGTGTTTCCTTTGTAAGTAGTTTAGTAGGTATACGAAAGCATATGCCAGTTCTTTAAAAATCTTCAGTACAGAAATGTGGGTTCAATTAAGATTTTAACATTTTTAAGTAAGAAGTTTTATTTCTAAAGATGAAGAAGGCAAGTGTTGATTAAAACTACTGGTGTTTGTTTCGTGTTCTGGAAGGCCTTTGATAAGGAGTTAACCAGAAAAGCATTTTATTTTAGAAAGAGACTTTACTGCCAAATCACCCCTGACAACTAATTGTCTTTGTCAAGTGGCAAGAACTTTTGGGTGTGGCAGTCGAAGAGAACTTTTCTGACTTCCAACCGGAAGTTTTTGTAAGAAACGAAAACTTGGTTTAGTTGGAACGGAAAAACCAACTTGCAAATATACTTTTGAAAAACTGGGTTAGCACCAAAAAATAAATCTCTTAGTTTGAAAAAAAAAAAAGTGTGCTGGTTAAATGAGATATATGAACTGGATTTTCACACTCTGCAGTTTTAAGATAGGAAATTTTCATCAAAGGTTATAGTACATTTCCCAGAGTATTCTTAATATAAGTRTTAGTTCTATAGAAAAAGTTTCTAAATTATTTTACATTTATTATCGCTGTAGAAATGCAGAACTCCAGAATTGTAACTATTAGTCACACTTTATAGATTTTTACATGGTTTTCAAAAATCTTTAGATACCATCATTTCTAGAAAATCTGAAAGATTCTGTTGCCCTTGGTGTTTGGGGAAAGTGTGTTTGAAGATCTCTGCTTTCTGGTTCTCCTCCTACCTCATGGTCTAGTCCATAACATCTTAAGCATTTTTGGCACACCTTCTTTTGTCTTGGCTGCTACTGATTGTCCTTACTRTCTTCTTGATCACCCTTGACTCCCCAGTCATTCCTGAAATCCTCATGCATGTTAAAGAAGGCTGTTTTACAAATCTCCCTGCTTTTTAAATTTCACACAACAAATATCACTTCCCGCCAAAATTCTTTTTAAATGTTTCCAAAATAAGGACTCAGCTTTACAAGTAAGGATCATTACTTGTAAATTTGGATTTGGAAATCTCAAGTGCTTCCCATCCATCCTAAATAAAGAAAACATGTACTGGTGTATGAAGTATTTTCAAATTTATTTTACCCTAACTTTCTAGACTGACACAGAGGTGTGCATTTCTAAAAGACTTGTTGCATGAAGAGTTATAGCATCACTTGTTTGAGAGTTAGTAAAATGGACAGCAAACCAGAATCATAGCAAAGTGGACACMCAATATCAAAGATGATGATCTTGATCACAGCACTGGCTTGATTCCCTCCACCTGTGTTTATTTTAGCCATGCTTTTAGATTGGTAGGAAAAAACAAACCAGTTTCCTTATTTTGGAATAAGGACTGTGAATCTGAACAATTCCTTGCTGCAAGGCTCCAGGTTCCTGGTGGGAGATAAACTCATAGATCAGAATCAATTTCCTTGAAAAAGTTGCCCAGGCTGTCCTTCAACTTGCCATCCTCCTTGCCTCAGTCTTCTGAGTTTCTGGGATTATAGGCATGTACCACCTGCAAGGTTTACCTTTTAAATTATTTTATGATGCATGTACATATTCAAAAAATGCATGATTAAAATAATAGAAAATACTCAAAAATTTAAAAACTATTTATCTATTACTTTACAACCCAAGCTAAGTAAYTTAAAAAAGGTATGTAGATGACCCCCATCAGCATATTTTGTAGATTAACCATTTGACTTATAATTCTCATCAGTCTTTGTTCTTAAAATAACTGACATTTTTGCATCATTAGAGAAAGACAATGTTGTCATACCAAACAGACTATTTTTAAAGATGGGCTTGCAAAGGCATGGCATACCTAAAATATTAAAGCAGTGTGGACTGGTAAGTGCATGCCATTCATTGGGTCTTGACCACTTGTGCCAAGTCCTTGAGTACATTTAAGAGACAGAGGAATAATATACTCCATAAATTTTTCTAGTTTTTAAAACAACATTTAGAATAGAAGGCGAAAATACAATTCTGTACAGTTTGAAGAAGATTTACAGTCCCCACCCCCKCCACAAAAGTATTAACAGAAAGAAAATATGCATTCAAGAATGCTTACATGAGTCATTAAAAGTACCTTCATAAAGAAGTGATAAAAGGAAATTCAGGAGGAACATATAATTTCTATGCTGTGTATGGTATATTTTTCCAGGAATACATTCCAGTGTATTGCAAGGAGAGCTATATTGGATGGGCTGGAATTTGTGACTACCCTTTATGGAATTCGGAACTAAAATCTAAAAAGAGATTCAGTTAAAAATAATACAAGTAGAGCTTTTCTAATTATTTCCATAATTGAATTTAGTCTGGGTGATATAGTTCAATCAAGGAAAGAATGTAAAAAATAACATTTTAAACCCATAGGAAGCATTATATTCCAAGGGTCACTTTGAGTGCTGAGATCTAGGTAGCAGTTCATTCTTTGCAGTCCACAGACTTATTTTTAGAGCAAGGGCATAGTGTTTTGCCACATCATTGCTAAATGTTGTTTTCAGAACGTAAGCTTTAAAATTGTTATCCTGGTCAGAGAGTGAAATCAGTAGTGCCTATTTTAGACCTGCTCAGAAGAATATAACTCAATACAGTGTCTTACTCTTGCTGATCAGAGGTTTTGCAGACTACCTTCTCAACTACATCACCTTTAAAGCATGGTACAGTAGAATTTTATCTGATGACTATGGGATTTGTAGCTTCAAATAAATATTATAGTCTTTTAAAAATGGAGTGTTGAAAGGAAAATTGCCTTTTCATTTTATGTATTAGACATTAGTTTTAACTTAAATTTTGTAGGGATAAATTTTGGTTATTAGAAAGCAAAGGTAATCTCTGTGCTTTTTAAGATGTTCTCTAAAACTTAAGCTAAATTTAAAATCTTTAAGCTTTAAAAAATTATACTCTGATTTGTTTAGATGTTTTAGTAATATCAATGGTTTAATATGGCTCTAATGCAAGAAACTGGTTTGAACGGAGAGTAATGTTTATAGAAGTTAATTATAGGTGGATTAACTTCAGTTTTCTATATTTTCCCAATATCTTTTCAACAAAATGTTTCTTGAACTATTTTGGATCCAGAAATGAAGGTGCACTGAGAAATGTTAGTTGAATGTGTAAGAATAGTGCTTGTGAATAGTGATTAGGAGAGAAGACCTGTTCCACCACTCAGTCTCCCTACTTTCTTACTTTCTGTCCACTATAGAATGAGACCTTTAGGTGGACCTACTAAAGATGAATTAATATTTCTCAGCACCCCCATAGAACTATACCTAAGTTTTTTTGGGTTTGTTTCTTATTCTTATATTGTTATTAAATGTTATAAATATTAGTGTTATGGTTATCAGTTGTTAGGCTATCCAGCAGTATTGGGGATATGTAATTTTGTTGAAATGCTTTTATAAAAATTCATGATTTTAAGGATAATGTCTATAGAAGTTAATTATAGGTGGATTAACTTCAGTTTTCTATATTTTTCCATTATCCTTTCAACAAAATGTTCATTGAACCAAGTCTTTTTTTTTTTTTTTTCATTTAGTTTGGTTCTTTGAGTAATGGTTTTGATAAGTTGAGARATTTTTTACCAAGTGATATTCTCCTGCTCCAGACACATCTCTARGTAACTCAAACATATCAGGAAGGTCAATTCAGTTTACTTTTGCTAATCATTGTTTTTATTCAAACTTAAATAATTTTGGATGTTGATTTTGTTTTTCTTGAATTTCCCTTCTTAAATTAGGATTCAACCACCACCATGTCSAGCAAAAGGGCAAAGACCAAGACCACCAAGAAGCGCCCTCAACGCGCAACATCCAATGTATTTGCCATGTTTGACCAATCACAGATTCAGGAATTTAAAGAGGCCTTCAACATGATTGACCAGAACAGAGATGGTTTCATTGACAAGGAAGATTTGCACGATATGCTTGCCTCACTGGGTAATGCTCAGTTTTACTATTAATATACTGAATAGAATTTCCATGATGCCTTTCATGTTTATTTTGTGATTCTTAAAGCTCTGTGAAGCCAATTTAATGTCTRTTAGATTCAAATAAAGTCCCACATGGACACCTGCAGATTATTATTCCTGTCTCAGAATTG